GCTAACCCTGATTGTCGGTCGTGATTTCCAGAGTAAACTTCTCTGCTAATGCGACCCCCTTCGCTACGCCTAAGACCCGTAAACAGTTGGAAGACGTTGCTAACAAGTCTAAGCCGCTTTCGCCCACAAATAATACACAGCGAGCAAGACAGAAGGAGAAGCCGCAATAAAAAGCCAGTTATAGAGGGAGTGGGCACTGAGAAGGGGTTGGGGTTGGGGTTGGCTGTTGCCTGTGAGGGAAGCGATTGCAATTGCGATTGAATTCAAATTCCGATGTTGCACTTCAAAGTCGAGTTGAAACCGAGAAGCTGAAGCTGAAGCTGCTGGCTTCAAGTGAGTTTCCCCATTCCCCATCGCTTGACATTCCCTCAATCCCAACCCCTTGCTTACCTTCACCCCATCCCCACCCTCATCCTCACCCTCAATCTCTGCATCATTCACAGCGCCTTCGTTCAGCTCTCATCGGTTTATCCTGTTAAGCTCGTTTGCCATGACGCCAGTCGAGTGGAGTTCTCCATTCAGCGCTCTGCTCGAGTTTGTTTTGCCAACTGTGGAGGCGTGGCAGAGGCAGAGGCAGTGGCAGAGGCAGTGGCAGGTAGCTGAAGCATGAAGGCCATTCGAGAATGCGAATGGCGAATGTGGCGGCTGCTTCTCTTTGTTGTCGCCTTAAATATTTTATTGATGTCATTTCGACAATGGTCCAATGTTCACTTGGCTGCTCTTCAGCTCCTTAGCTCCTCAGCTGCTCAGCTGCTTGAATGTTGAATGTTTTATTGCTGGCTTGTTGATATTTTTATCATCCTCTTCTCATCCTGCTTATGGCCGTTTACAGCGCTTTAAATCTTCTCCTTCGATTGCTGTTCTTGTTGTGGCTTAAAAGCCCAAATCAAATCAAATTTGATGCGCCTCATTTATGGCAATTATTTAGCCATGATCCACAACTGGCTATATAGACTTCGCATGCATAACATAAGGGTTAAGCGGACTTGACCAACGTAAACATTTATCTATTCAATTGGTTAAAGTTTCTCAACTTGTTCTGCCTTGGCCACATTCCCTTTGTGCGCCGATAAATTGAACAATTTTCCATTTATGCGAAATGCACTTACAACTTTACAGCTCACATACACACACACATACACACTCACACACACACACACACACACACACACACACTCTTGCATGCAGATGTTATTTTCTGCAGGACACTTGGTGCCTGTTGTTCGCTTCCATAAAGAAGAATTGGTCTCAGATAAAAAGTATGGCAAACGTGTTCCACAGAAAAGTTTCTCTCTTACACACACACACACGCACTCACATACACACAGATAGACCACGCTCTCAAAGAGCTGTTGAAGTAGTTGTTTTGCTTTTGTTGCCGCTAGGGGGCGCTGCGATGGCTTAATAGAAAGTAGCTCGGGTAATAGCTATTTCCTTTGCATTTTTCATAAATATAATTCCATTTTTACGCGAATGCCCTATGCTTCTTCTTCTTGTTAGTTGCTTTTGGATTCGTAATTTATTTTTCCAGTATTTTGGCTTCATTTGTATTTGTTTGTTGACTCTGTTAACTTTGTTGCTGTTGTCGTTGCTTTACATGCATTTTGCAGCTTGAAGACTTTTTTCTAGCCTTGCGGAAATTGTCGTGAATAGTTCATTTCAGCATTTTTTCAGTTTCTTTTTCTTTTTTTTTTTTTGACTTGGCAAAGTTTGTCCAAGCAGCTGCGATTGCAATTGCCATTTAGTTGCAAGTTGTTGTTGTTGCTGCTGTTGTTGTTGTTGGCAGTTGTTAGCAAAAATAATTTCCCCTTTATGCAGATGAGTCCGGCGCGCTGTCCTCGTTTTGGCCCGTAATGAAATTGACATCTTGTGTCGCGATTTCAAGCTGATTTCCCATTTCTTTTTCATTCTTCTCCTTCTTCTTCTTCCTTCTACTGCTTACTACTTTCGCTGTTTTCTGCTTGTTTCTCCATCAGCATGGAAATTCAGTTTTGCATCGCTTGCAATTCAATTTCCGCATTTGTTTAGCTCCTTAGCCAGAACCTTTTCATAAATGTGCAGATTATTTTTAAGTTTTTTATGTAAACATTCATACTTTGGCTTGAGAAATTGTTGAATTTTAATATATGTATATTGAAGTTTTATGTGAAATCAAATTTTTGAATGCATTTTTGTTTTCGTTTTTGTCGTGTATTTTAACTTCATTTTATTAGGCATTTATATTATAATTCATTTATATTATAATTTTTTATACTTTAGATTCTTGTCTTAGGCTCTATTAGCGCAGCAAGCGATTATGTTCTTTGCCAAGTTCACGGGAGATACCGTGAGTAGTCGAGTACTCTCCACTAGAGCTTTCTTACTTGGTTAATAAGTGTTCTTAAACTATTTGCTTATTCCAGTTCATTAATTCATTGAATCCCTCATTTCTCTCTTCATCTCATTCCCTTCTTTCTCTATATTCTCCCGCTCTCCTTCCACTTGCACACTCCTTTAGCTTGCTCTTTCGCTGCTCTCCTCTTACTCGCACTCTTATAGCTTGCTCTTTCGCTGCTCTCCTCCCACTCTCACACTCGTATATATTGCTCTTTCGCTGCTCTCTTCCCACTTGCACACTCGTATAGCTTGCTCTTTCGCTGCTCTCCTCCCACTCGCACACTCGTATAGCTTGTTCTTTCGCTGCTCTCCTCTTACTCGCACACACTTATAGCTGCTCACCTCTTACTCGCACACTCTTATAGCTTGCTCTTTCGCTGCTCTTCTCCCACCCGCATACTCTTGCTCTTGCTAGCTTGCTCTTTCGCTGCCACAGACGATAACAATTCGCGACACTTAAAAATCGAAAAATGCATGAAACTGTTTGTTAACAATAATTAAATTGGAAATGATGCAATTTATTATTATTTTTATTATTTTTATTATTATTATTGTACATTTCCCCATTTTACTGTTGTTCTTTTACATTCTCAATGACTTGGCTTGTAATAAAAAATGAATAAATTAAATGAATAAAATGCGGTCGAAATACTCGATATTCGAACACTGCAAAGTTTCCTCACACTAATTGTTTATTAATGTCTGATGCACTTTAAAATACTCTGTAAATTTGACTGTGCCTCAGTGGGGTATGCAGTGCTGATACTTAAAAGAAAACAAGAGTGAAAATGGGCAAAGGAATTGAGTAGAGTTTTGACAGATCACAAATTCTCAGCATTATTCGGAACTCAATGCTATTTGACATGAGTTTATGGTAAGAAAGTTATATTAACGGAATATTATAGGTACATATGTTGCATATTTATCTGAAACAATTTGGGCAAGCCTTAGGCAGTTAGTATATTGTATATGCTGCATAGTCTTGCCTGGTTAGGGTATGTTCTGGTCAGGCAAAGTATATAAAGAGCATAATTTATGTATATATATTTTATACTTACCCGAAACACCCTGTATTAAGCATCATGAGACATCTATCATATTGTCTATACTAGCTTAAATGGTCTGGTTAGGGTATCTTCTGTCAGGCATTTTAGGTATGGCAGAATATTTAATAAGATGTTTACCTGAAACACCCTGTGTTAGGCATCATAAGACAACTACCTGCTCGATAGGACACACAGCCCTGCCTGGTTAGGGTATCTTCTAGTCAGGCATAGCCTTGCTACTTGTTTTATGATGTATTGTTAATGTGTGTTGTTTGCTGTTAATGTTTGTTGTCGTGTTGCATGTTTCAATATGGTTGGCAACTAAGCATTTCACACACACAAAGCATTTGTTGTTGTTGATTTTTATTTCAATTTGGAGTCGGGGCTTATATCAATGCAGTTGCAACTCATTTCGTATGCTTAAATACATGTTACATAGTTATAGTGTATATATATATATGTATGTATGTTCACATTTAGTTGTAAATCATTAATATATATATAATTGTATATATATATTTAACATATTTTTGTTTTGTATTGAAAGCAACACAACTATTTAGCTTAAATGTTTAACATTCTCATTAAGTATATGTTTTTTTTTTGTTTTTTTTTTTTCTTTACAATATTTTGTAAGCTTTAATTACAATTCACCTAATTTAAGCTTTAATATTTTTAGACTCTTAACAATTTGTCGATGAGAAATGAAACTTATATAAATGAAAATAATTTAAGTTTTCTCAGATTTCTTTGGGAATTTATTTCATTCTTATGAAATGATATGATTTGTGTGATTTAGAAGTTAATCATGTAATTAAAGCCTGCAACTCAGTTAGATACAGTGCGAGAGCAGCATTAGCTATAAAGCGCTTGACCCTAGAAGATAACTATATATATCCATTATAGTACGCTCAACACATACGAATCGAAATCAAATATCGTTCAACTGAACAATTTTGAAATATATATATAAGAAAGTGCATCATTATATAGGTACACACCTGCACACATGCCTCATATATGTCTATATGTTGAGTTGCTATAGGTTAAATGATTTCTATTCTCGATATGTTGTTGTTTTTGCTTTAACAATATATTTACTTGTATAAGTATGAGAGGTGCGTCAGTGTGTGTGTGTCAGCAGCGTTTAACGCACAAATATAAGTATATATATGTGTGGGTGTGGCTATATATATATGTCATCATATAATTATTTAAACATTATTCAACTTGAGTACATCAAATTGTTAATTTCTCTTTACTTCTTGAAGCACAGCATTAAAGCAAAATTAAGTTGCAATTGTTTTTACCCTTGTGAAAGTTTATATAAGTGTAACTATACATATATAAACGTATATATATATTTATAATCTATATATGATAAGCTAATATAGATTGACGCAAGCTCTGCGCACTTTTTCTTTTGGGGGGCGGATCATAACTAGGGTCTGCTCGACTAGGGGCTATACGAGTAATTTGTTTTATTTTATATATATATTTTATTATTATATATATATATATTTATGTATGTATATATCGTTTATATGCTAGCCTTATATATCATCGAGATATGTAGCTCTAACACACACTTAAGCTAAGTCTTGCACAAACCTCTCCGCGCACCATTGTTAACAATGTTGGGAGCAGTGCTAGCCACGCTATGGCCACGGCGCAGTTGGCGTCGCTGTCGGCGCCGCTGTCGCTGCCGACGCCGGGTGCATTACCATTTCCGTTTGCCGTACTCTGCGTTTTATCTAGGAAGGATTTTTGTTCTGATAAACCGATTTCATTCAAATTCGATTGATAGCGCGTATCTGATTGATGATAATGATGAGGGAGACAGCGCGCAAGTGAACGACAGAGAGAAAGAGAGAGAGAGAGAAAACGAGAGAGTTTAAGATGGGAATACAAAACGAGATAGACAAATACAGTGATAAAAATAAATGTGTTGGGGTAAAACGAGCAGGGTGCCAGGCAATTCGGAGAGCTATGTTGATGATAGGCTCAAGTTCTACTCACTTTTGTCCTGTCCGTAATTGGAACGCGTCGCATCTGAATTGCCATAGCCGAAATTGTTGTTGGCTCCCTCGCCCCAATGCGATTCACTTGTGTAGAGACCCGACGAAGCGGTCGTTGGTGGATACGAAACTGTGTTTGAGAGAGAGAGAGAAAGATAGAGAAAGACAGATGTTTTAGATGACAGATCAATAATTTGTTTAGCTTGTAAGTTTAGGAGTATTTTATATCTGTGAAAAAGTGAACTGTTCTATCTTATACAGTATGTACCTACTTATATGTATGTAAATATGAAGAAAATATATAGTTTATATCTATTTATTTTCTATAAATTAAATAATTAGTCAAAATTTACTTGTGAATATTTATATATATTCTGTATACGCTGCTACGAATAAAATCTCTCATTAACTTCTTCATTATCAGACATGTCTTATGCAGCGATGCAACGCATGGTTAAACCTATTGCTTAGTCGAGCACCTTCAGCCAATCACTTTTACTTGAGTGAATTCTCTGCATTTTGATTGGCTCCCTTTCCCCCTTATAAATGGTATACAACTTTTGTCGTTCCGCTTGCTCACTTGCTTTCTTCGTATTGTCAATTCATACATCTATTTTTATCTCTTTCGCTCTTCAAAAAAATTTAATTGTTTTTTTGGTACGCTTGCTACTCTTTTTGTTCGCATCTCTCAATTCAGTTGATTATTGTCAACAAAAATGTCTAACTCTAAAAATAGATCCACTTGCTCTGTTCGCTGTCCCTCTCACTCTCGCTGTATTACGATAACAATAACTGAACTTGTTCTGGAGTTTATTTTTTTGTCTTTTTTTTAGCATTTGTTGTTTATAATTCATTTACATATTCTTATTTTTATATTTATTTATACATCAGAGAAATGTATGTTCTTTGGTTGTTGTTTTCAATGGAATTTGCATGCAAATTGTTCAATTTTTGCAATTTTTCGCACGTCTCATTGCATTTGATTTTTTATGCTATTTATTTAAAATTCGTGCTGTCTGTTATTTCGCAACTCACCCCAAATATATGCATATAGTTATATACACATTTTATTCGCCCGACTTGATAGAACAAAATGCTAATTATTTTGTATTTTCATTATGTGACAATATGCACATTTTCCCAGTTCCCAGTCCCCAGTTCCCATAGCCTGTCCCAGTTCAGCGGGCCCCTCGCATTGGCTTATGTAATTTAAGCGTTCAGTTTTTCCCCAGTTACATCCTCGATATCCATATATGCGTATACCATATGTATTTTCAATTAAAGCACGTTTTAATTATGCCGTACAGCGAAATTTATTCAGCACGTTTGTTTCAACCATTTTAAATATGCAAAATCATTTTGATTGTCAAACGCTTTTTGGCCATATGATAGTACTTATTTTATTAAATATTGAATATTCATTCAGCAATCTCATTAGAAACTAATTAAAACATTGATTTTCCGACATGCCAAATTGAATAGAATAAATCACATACGATATGAATGTAAATAACTGTATACCCTCTCTCTCTCTCATACAGATAACTAAATATTAATAAATATATTTTATTAAAAATATATTATAAATAATATGAATTTTAATAGTTTGTTGAAACATATTTTAGACTTAGTTTTAACACAATACAAAAATTTTACTCTAACTGTATATGCATTTAATTTTATATACTTTTATATAACTGTAAACAGTTCAATTTAGACGAAACCTTCAGGTTTAAGGCCATTAATTGTCAGCTACAAATGCTGCACACATCTAATGAGCTCTGAAGCTTTAAGCCCGATTCGACTAATTAAGAGATTCATGTCCAAGGAGGAGGAGGAGGAGGTGGAGGAGAATGAGAGAAGAAAAAAGAGAAGAAAAATAGCCAGCTCCTTGGCATATTGAGAAAGTGCCGCATTGGCCTTAACACGAATTGACAAATTTCCAGCTATTTAGCCATCGAGGCGAAAGCCAGAACAAAAAGAAAATCTCAACCGCAATAGCCCAGAAACGGAGCGATTTAATTGCCTGGCCAGGAAACGTGAACTTTTTAGCGCAGGGAGAAGCAGGGCACAGGGCGCGATCTGGAGTGAAAGACGAATGCTTAACACCTTACCATGCCCTGGTCGATGCTTGGCCAAAAACTGACGGCAGCAGGACTGGGCCATAATCAAGCCACTGGAAATCAAGTCACGTGCTCTGTGCCTGAGGTGTGGAATCGCTTGGGCTGGGCTACACGCCGGATTGTCCTTGCACAAGTTTCGAATCGGTGGGGCGGCGCGGCTGGCGAGTGAGTCTTTGACTCCACATGTGCTGCAAGTCTCAAGCAAAACTTAAATTTTATTTCAGGCAACGCTTCAATTTTGCAGCTCAAGTTGTGAGTTAATATCACGTTTTAAGTTTAATTACGTGATGGATTTGCCGAGGGCAGCTTTAAGCTGCCGAAGATTCAGCGAAATGGCATATCCTAGTGCTACAATTAACTAAATTATATACCCGAGTCTAGTTAAAAATAAGTATTGCAAAGTTAAGCTTTTTTTGCTGATTTTTTTTGAAAGTAAAAATAAAGGTTAAACTGGGAAAATATACTTATGTTAAGCATAATAATAATAATAATAATAACAATAATAATAATAAAAATAATAATAATAATAATAATAATAATAATAATAATAATAATGATTGTTATAAATCATAATAAAATATTATTAACACTTTCATTTTATATTCCCATAAAAATTATTTTGAATAGTTTTTCTGATTAACATTTTGATTATTAGCAAAATGTTAATCAGAAAAACTATTCAAAATAATTTTTATGGGAATATAAAATGAAAGTGTTAATAATAAGAATACTAATAACAATGATAATGATAATTATTCTAATGAGATTAGTAATGACAATGCAATAATATAAAATAAAACTATTAATAATGTTATGGCTAATGACAATAATAATGAAAACTCTAATGACTATTGAAAATGCTTTTTCACATTATAATGACAATGATAATGATAATGACAATTATAAAAAATTAAAATATTGATATTGATAATGCTAATGCAAATGAGAATGCTAATGAAAATGTTAATTCATATTATATAAAATGAGAATATTGATAATGATAATGATAATGCTAATGTCAATGATAATGGGAAAGGTAATGTATACTATTCCATATTAGAATAACAAAGATACTGAGAATTTTAAAAAAGAAAAACCTGTTGATAATAATGCTAAGATGAATACTAATGACAATGATAATGACAATGAAAATGCAAGCTAACATTATAATGTCAATGATAATGATAACAATTATATAAAATGAACATAATGCTAATGATATTGCTAATGACAATGATAATGATAATAAATCTAATGAGATTAGTAATGAAAATGCTCTTTTAATTGTTAATAGCTATGATAATGATAATGAGAATTATATAAAATTAAAAAAAATTTGGAAATTGTCAATACAAATGAGCATAATAATAGAAATCTTAGTAATGATAATGAGAATAGTAATGAAATTTAATTTTACCTTAAACGACAATAATATTGAGAGTCAGACAGAGAAGATGAGCATAGCAATGATAGTAATAATCATAATGAGAATAATTATGAGATCTTCTGTTTGATTCATCAATATATTTCACTTCCATTATTTTCTTTCAATTCCTACCATTATTTACACACATGAAAACGCAGCTTACTAATTAAGTATTTTGCACTAAAACAAACAACATAAATTACTCAGAGCAACTTGCTCAGATGCTGACTTAGCATACGCCGCATAAAATGTGCTACGCTGCGTATGCGCAACATATTTGCCTCTGCTTCGGAGGCGGCTGGTGCTTCTCAGTTCGGTTCAGTTTTGCGCAACTTTTGTTTGGCAAACAATTAAAAATGCATTTGACGGCAACTTTTGCTGAACAAGCTGCGAAATTGCTTTGAACGAGTGCCGCGCGCTGAGTGCCGACTGCCAAGTGCCAACTGCTGAGTGCTTAAATATGTCGCATGGTTTTTTTTCTTTTTTTTTTGAGAAACTCTGAGCTATTTACTCACCATATAATCGTATAATGCCATCCGTCTCGCCCCTGGGATTCTTGGCCACGCACTTATAGATGCCATCGTCCCCGCTGCCCACATTGATAATTGTCAGCTTCATGTGGGTCTTGTAAGCGGGCACGCCGACGCTCGACTCGACTCTAGACAATGCAAGAAATAATAGCAGGCAGACCATGTTGTTAGACTAGCCGAAAAGTAAACTCGAGCAGTGAAGACTATTGCTTACTTGTACTTAAACGAGTCATGTATGATTGGTCCCTCGCCGCGTGTCCAGTAATTCAGGGATGTGGGATGCGCCTCCGTGAAACATTCGATGGTTACATTGAAACCTTCGGGTGCGCCAACCAATTGATGTGGTATAAGCAACATGGGCGGAACTGTAGAGAACATTTAGATAGACTTATTGAGATCTAGTTAAAGCTGTTGAATAAATTTATAAAATCTATAATCTCAACACAAAGTAGGAAAACACTTAGGCATAAAGAACTAGCTCTAATTTATAAATATATGGTAAATATATAAATAATAGAAATATATAAAGAATATAAATATATAAATAAAAATATAAAGAAACGATGGCTTTCATTTATAAGATTTTTATGTCTTTTCTGATTTCAATAAAAATAATTTTTGTTACAACAAAAAGTCTAACAGTTCTGAAAAAGTTTAGTTTCTGTTCAGTAAATTTTATTTTTATAAGATTTTTTTTTTTTTTTTTTCAATTTTTATTTTTCATTTAAAACTATTTAATAAAAATTGTAACAAGCCAAATTTCAATGTAACTTAAATAGTAAAGCTTTGATATCTTATGTTCATTTATATTATGTTTTTAATTATCTCGTTTTTAGTATGTCCTGCTGTATTGTTAATAATATCAAGTATACGTCATCAAATTATCAATTCCATTGAGCAAAATTGTGGACATTTTTAGCTTTAACGTAGGTTGCAAATTCGTTGTTTTATCAAGTTGTATTATCGAGTCCTTTATCTAAAACCTTTACTCGTTTATCTTTAAGGGCATTGAGTAATTTTAATAATTTAATAATTTACAACCATCTCAAAGTCATCGTGTATAGGCATATGTGATCTACGCTCTAATTAGATTTCTGGCACAGCAACAGATATGCCTTATTTTTGAAGGAGATATTTATTTATAAAAAGCATGTTTCTAGTTGATAACAAGTTCCAATAATAAATAATAGAGGAGCAGTTCAACAACGTTTTAATATTTTAGCTCACTCAGTTCTCAAAGTGTCTGCTACCTAAGAAAAATCTTCTACACAAAAGCCAGCAAATGTTTTCAATAATATTTATAGCTAATGAGAATTTTTTTAAGCATTTGATTAGCCATTAGTCTGGCACTATGAATGGAAGCATTGACATGCTTGAACATTCACGGAGTATGATTAAAAAGCCTTTTGAAATATTGTTTTAAGCAGATTTGCAATCATCTTCTATGTAAAGAATTTCAGATCACAAGCTCCATAAAGCCATAAGACTACGCAAACCATTGTGAACTGCATATCTAGATACAAGGCATTTAACTATATTTTCATATCTCGCAGACTTATTCTATTCAGTTAGCCATAATTCTTTCCTTGTCTTACATAATCTTTATGGTCTCAGCACTGCAAAAGGTATCCAATTAGCGCCAGCCCAAAAGCATTGTCAATTTTTCTGTGTTAATCCTGACAGCTTCGGGGCCTTCAATGGCTTTGTTTACTGCGTTAACCAACACTATAAAGTACTTAATGTCCAGTCAGGTCGTTTAACCCCTTGACAAGTTAATTAAGTTGCGCATTTTGTCACACTTAAGCTGCGTGACACTTAATATCCTTTTGATTAAGGACATTACAGAAGAAAAAAAACTGAATGAAAGCAGGAAGGGGGCAGAAAAACGAAAGTGTGGTTAAAGGTGTTCGACGAGCTGTGCCAAAAGGCTTATGGCCACAATTCATAAACATAAAAACGACGCTAATTTGTGTTCAAGCTGATTAAAATTTCAATTGGTCCGGCAGCGGCATTAGCCGAGAGCAAGTCGCAGGGCAGAGGGAGAGAGTGAGAGGCTTGAAGAAGAACCCTTCAGGTTTGAGCCGCAGCTTAATTGCCAGCTCGTGGCTCGCATAAATCAACAAAAGGTAAAAGAGCCAGCGAAATGACAAGGCAAACTCAATGAATGAAGGGAGGAGCAACAAAAGCAGCAGCCGCAGCAGCAGCCGCAGCAGCCATTGTGTATAGAGCCAGGACTTTTTCTGCGCTCAGCCTAATGATGATGACAGGCTCACAGGCTACCGACAATAACTATGGCAGATGCAAAAACAAACGAGAAAAATATAAGGAGCAGGTTCATTAGTGCGAGCAGAGGCAAAAAAGAAGCAACTGCCACTCGCATTTAATATCTTAATTAAAATTGTGCGCCGCACTGCATTCGAAGTGTGGCAAAAAGTTCGCTCAGCGATTCGACTATATGGCTTTCGCTCAAGTATTTCGGTTGACGAATTTTTGTATAGGTGTCCTTCTATATGCTGCTGCAAGCTCAACAGATGCACACAAATAACAAATAGACTCGAAAGATGTTCAAGAAGAAGAAGAGCAGGGGAGAGACAAGACCCAGCAAAATACACTGAATAATGCTATTCATAAGATTTTTCATGAGCTGCGACCGCTGAAAGAAAAAATAGTTTTTTCTTTTTTCACTTGTTACCCAGTTTGAGTGTGACTTGTGTGTGTGTGTGCAAACTATGGCGAACTTTTTCTCCTGGGTAAAGAAAAGGCGCAGCCTCGTGACTTGTCTTGGCTCTCAATTTAAATGAAAATCAGTTGCATAAAAAATTATACTTAAGATCTGGCTCGACTCGCCATTTGCATAAGCCAAAGACAAAAATAAAGTCTAGATACATAGATGTATATACATAGATATATATATATATATATATATATATATATATATATGTTGGTATATGTATGCATGCATAAATTGGACTTGAAACTTTGTTTGTCAATATGCAGCAGGAAGAAACTTTAAGGCTAACCAAAATGAATTGAAGAGCTGCATTGGTCAAGTAAAATAGAGAGTGAGAGAGAGAGAGCAAGATAGAGAGTTCGCTCGGTTATAACAAAATAAAATTATTCAAATTGCAAAAAGAAATTGTCAGAAGTAGAAAATTCTGGTTTTAAATTAGGTAAAGACAACTTACAACTACTAAAGCTGGAATTGCAAAATGCCCAGATAATTATAATTTGTGCAATAGAATTATATAGAAGATTTATTGAATGCCTTTCCATTCACTCAGAAAAGCATACTGTGCATATTGTAGTAGAAGGAAATCAATAAAAACGGCAAGAAATACAGAGACGCATAGACAGACATCACGTTAAGTATGTAAATGTCTAAAGCAGTAATGAGAATCGCAGCGAAAGGCAATATGGACATCTGATAAAAGGATAAGCTTCACATTTACTTCAGATACTTCATCAAAAAACACTAGTTATAACTTAGCAAATTATAGCAATCATGAAAATCGCATAGAAAGGCAGCAGTAAAAGCTAATCAAAAGCAAAAGTCAGCTTGCTTCTAGTCAAAAATCGATCAAAGCCTGTTATTCTCGCTGAATTTATATACATATTAACAGTTGATACATGGACATAATTAGTGATAATGAGAATTGCATAGAGGGGAGCTTGGGAAAACTTGACATTTTACAATTAAACTGTAAGTCAATTGATAGCTAGCTATAGCTGAGCTACAATGACTACTTATAGAGCAAAAAAAATTTAACTTTCAATGAAAATCGCATAGAAAGGCTTAAATGAAAAACTAATCAAAAGTAAAACTCTATTTGATTAGAGTAGAAAATCAATCAAGTCAGATATTACAATTGCATTAATTCTCTTAGCATGAGAATTGCATAGAGAGGCGTTATGATCAACTCAAGGAAAGGTAAGTAAGCTACAAGCCCAGTGACAGCCACTGCACCATATACAATGACTTCACATAAATTTAAGCAGTGCTGAAAATCGCATAGAAAGGCACTTAATTGTCAGACACTTCATCGATGCACAACTCGTAAGAAGTTAGTTTTTAAATCAAGACTCGTAATGCAAAGCATGTCAACATTATCAGATGAGATTGTCTTTGTTTCAAGCCAATTTCAAGAAGTTCTGGCAGCACGTGCTGCGTCCAATCCTTTTGTCTGTCTTTACGGTCCATTCACCTGTCTCGTTTTGGGCCAATCGCAATGCAATCAGCTCATTGCCATCATCTTGTCCATTTGCCATTACACTAATTCCGCACAAATATTGCGCCAACATCCTTTGCTGCAATCAACGTCCAAACAAAGGCAAGCCCAGCCAAGGCACTTGAACGGTAATCCTTGACTGCAAAAACCCCGACTGCGACCGTAACGAGGCTTCATTAACTGCTAATTTTCAAGTTGTTTACACTCAGCCAATGGCACCTTGCAATTTTCTATAGACTGCCAGACAAAACTGTCACTCAATGTCCTCGGACTGCTGAGGCGCAAACAGCAAGCCACTCAGCCACGCCCCCTCACCCAGTCGGACTAAATTATTGTTGACTCAAGTCCCTTTTCTTTAGCTGGCTACCCGACTCGCTGTCCACTTAGCAGCTTCGCTCTCTCGCCGCCTTCGCACAATATTGTCGCCACTCAATTGTAATTTAAATCAGCGCTAAGAAGTGGAACTGGAACTGGAACTGGAACTGGAGCTCAGGAGAGGAAATGCTGCAAATGCTTGTCCTGTCAGCATGTCGAGAGTACCTCTAAAGTCAAGTGCTTTACTGTTTTCATTTATATAGCCAGAGCAAGAGCCATTACCATTTCGCCAGGCACTTAACTTGGCCAAATACTTGAAGGCGACAGCTGCCTGTAATGTCTCTCTCAATAAATCTCACTGCATAAGCTGATAGCTTGAAAACTGTTTTGTAATATTCGCATTAATCTCAAATATGAAAGAAAGTTCCACAGATATTTGCTTGAAAAGCATTTGAAATCCTTTCGAATTCCTCTTTCATACCCGGTTCTAGAGATTTAGTGATTAAAGCCAGTCGAACGCAGTCATTGGGATTTTTTTAAAGCTCTGTTAAGTACCGACAAATTGTATAAAAAGCCAAAAGAAATAATATGAATGCCAAATATCTGGATTGCATACCAAATTAGCTGCTTAAGTTGGCCCCAAGAAATTTTACTTCTTTTTTTTCTATTTCTTGCTTTCTTTTTGCTGAAGTGGGGCAGGTTAAGGGTCGTTCGCAGCATATGTTGTCCTCATGTCCTGCTGCTGCTGCTGCAAGCAAATCAGTATGCAGTCACAAATGTTAGAAACAAACTGGTTTACACACACACACACATACACATACACTCAAACGAACACTAAGCGGAAACAGTAGCTGAATTTGTTGCTTCCTGTTTGTTAAGCAACGCACGCCACAATAAACGTACAAACATGGAGCAAAATATAGTAAAAACAGAAATAAACAAGCAAGAAGAGACAGGGAGAGAGAGAGAGTTAGTTTCTGTGTGTGTCCTGGCTAAAGGACATATGCAAGCTGTCACAGTTGTTTTAACAAATTGTTTGGGTTGCTCTGGCAGACGAAATATCTTTCCATTTTTTTCTCGCTCTTTCTTTTCGTGTGCTTGAAAATACGTTTTTGACAATTTTTAAAATCAGCGTACGATTTTATATTTATGATCGAACACACAACAAAACACACACAAAGTATATTTATGAGAAATTGAAGACGAAATCGTGAAATTGCTTTCAGCGAGAAGCTGCACAGAAATTGTTGGCTCTGAATAAGTTGTGTTTGTAAAGCTCATCTGAGTTGCTGATTGAAGGTATTTATATTGAAGATTTAAATGCGCTTAAGGTTTGGCTAGCAATAAATACTAGACTTTACTTTGAGTAAGAATTTACTTATAACAGTGCTCTAGTCGGGACTGCCTGACTAGGATATACCCTGAACCTTGAAAGTAGGTGGCATTCTGATTAATCCATGCTAGCAAAGGAACCCTTTTCACACATATACATAAGCGCGCATAAGTAAGCGCTTTGCTTAGTTGTTGAATAATTTTTCTTCTTGATTGACTTTTTTATATATTTATAATCAGAAAAAAAAAAAACAAAATATGTATAATCATTACGAAAATTTTTTGATATTTTCCATCTTTTGCAGCATTCAAGCTATGTTTAAAAAAAGGAAATAAAACTATCGATTTTCATCGATAATTGTGGTAAGCTATCGATAATAAATTATACTCTTTTACTAAGGCATACATCAATATTTATTTTAAATTTAAGTACAGCTGGAGATCGACTCAGCTCTATCCTAATTAAATATATATATACTTTATGGAGTCTGCCACGCCTCCTTCTGCTTTTAACATACATTAGCTCAAAGCTATTATACTCCGAATTTTCCACTTTCCATGAGTTCTGTTAATGTTTTCTTTTAAAATTTTTTTAAATATATAAATATTCAAAATAAAATAAAGTTCACGTTGAATTAGAATTCGGCATTTAATTTACATAAATTAGCTTTCTCAGTTTCTCAATTTATATTAAACATTTACTATTTTTGAAATATAAAATCATGCTTAATAGCTTTTATTACTGCTTATTTGCAGTCTCGCACAAATCAATTAGAATTTAATAACTGCTTCACACACTTCTCTATGTCAGCTTAACGAGTTTGTTTGGCCTGCCCAAACAATCCGTTGTGCGGCAAATCTGTTTAGTTCTTGTGCACTTTTTTCTTGCTGCTTTCCAAGCACTTTGAAGTAGTCTTTTCATATTTTCTATACCCACACAAATACACACACACACACACACGCATACACTGCTTTTTTTTTAGTGTATGTCTGCAGCAATCAGGCATTTCGACTTACTTTTTTATGGCTCTCGCTTCGCACACGTGTAATTTGTATTGCACTTTTTTGCAGCTCTCCAGGGAATGGGCTGGTGCTAGTGTTGGCTAGTGTGCGGCCTCGGGGTCTGAGTTTGGATTCGGTTCTGTTTTGTTTGGCTAGCAAGCGAATGAATGTCGTGCACAAAACCAAAATAGATTTATGCTTGCGGCATTTTTAAGTGACAGCAAACGAGCAAATTTTCTGTGACGTTGCCACTGCACCGCCCACAACGCTGGCTGCCATGCCCGCCCCACACTCCCTTGCTGCTGACATGACAGCGCACGGACAGCATGTGATGTGACTGACTGTCGCTTGTAATAAATCTTAAAAAGAACTGCACACTGATTTGAACTTTGTTTCGTTTTGAATTTTCCTTTTCTCTGTTTTTGCCTTTGTTTTTGTTTTTACGTGAGATTTTGCAAAAAACTGCAGCAACAGCCACAAGTGGGGCCTCAAAATGCAATCAGTCAAAGACAGTGGGCCCAGCATGGGGCTAAATACGCTGGAAGCTGATAAGATGTTACTATTAGCAGATATCGTATAATAGAAATGTGATTAGTCTTTGGATAAGCTGTTGCTGATTTTGTTCAGAAGGAATTCTTAAGATTATTAATTTTAGATAATTAATTACATTTATAAATTATATATTATGTAATATATAGGGATAGGTAAGAATTTATTGATTATAGTATTAAAAAATAATAAAAAAAAATATTTATTTTACTATTATATTTAGTATTTAATATTAAGTATTAAGACGATGAACTTTTTATTTTATAAGTTCTTTTGCTGTCATTGTTATATAAAAGTTGAATTTTTCATATAGTTTAATATATGCTATAATTGAAGAGCTTATTTGATGACAATTAAAGCTAATAATCAGTTCATTATGGACTGTCAAAAGTATTCAAACGAGAGTAATGTGAAATATTTTCTAATACGAGAATTTCCAACATGTTTTTAAACATTTTATTTTAAATATGATCTTTATAATATTTCTCTGATTTCCATTTATTTTACAAATTTCTGAGACATTCAAAAAAATTTGTAAAAAATTGTATATATTAATTTCAAATTTGCAACCATTTTTAAATATTTATTATATTAGTAATTTTTTATATTTTACTTTATAACATTTTTTCTTTAAATATTTATGTTATTTCAGAATTTTTAACATAAGTTAATAACAGTTTAAAATTGTTTTTAATATCTAAAAATCAATATAAAAGTTTCGATACAACCTATTAAACAAGTACGTAAATGTTTAATGTATGTAAAAAATAAATAAATCAAATAATACACAAATGTTTAATTTAATTTAAGGCTATCTCAAGTTTTTTTTTTTTTAATTTAAAAAAAATATAAATATTGTACAATTTATTTTAATAATAAGGAGAAAAATGTAGGTATAGGTATACTAATGTTAGTCGAAATCAAACACTTTAGTTGTATATTCACAGCGTGTTCGCTGTGTCTGGCGCCACTGTGCCTGCCATGTGACCCACTATCAGATCAAGTTTAATCCGCAGCCGCGAAATGGAAATATGAGTTGCTAGGGACAACAGTACAAATAACACACAACACTCGCACACACACACACACACACGCATATAGAGGAAAAGCTATACAAATTTATAAAGGTAGTTTTTAGCCATCAAACGCTGTTGGTCAACACGTAACGAAAAACAAATTGAAAATGGTAGCTAACCCAAATCCATAAGCTATAAAAACTGTATTTAGTTTTTGCACAATGTTTGCACAAATTTTGCACAATTTTTCGCAGTTCTCACAATTTTTTATAGATTTTGTGTTAACGCTGCGAGTGCTTGGTAAATAGTTGTGCAAAAATCTGTTCAGCAGCAGGAAAGAATCACTTTATCATTTTCGCTTCGACAAACAGTCAAAGAGCAAAAGCGAAAAGCTGATATACCCCTTAAGCCCCCATACCCATTCCCCTTGCCGTTATTATACTCACAGTCTACGCTGACTTTGATGCGCTTGGAAACCGTTGGGGGCACCCCGTTGGATGCGATGCAGAGATAGGCGCCCATGTCCAGGCGCGAGATGCGGGTTATCTCCAGCGTATCGCCCTCCCACTCATTCACTGCAGCGCATGCAGACAAACAGAGAGAGAGAGAGATGAAGGCAGTCTCTTAAATGATTGATGCAGCTGCTCTGATATGCTAGCCAGCTGTCCGTTACCTTTGCACTTACCTATGTGATTCTTATTGATGGCTATGCGCGAGTTATCATCACGCTTCCATTTGATAATGGGTCTGGGACTGCCGCTGGCCCGACATCTCAGCGATATATTAGCGCCCTCCCGCACGATGACATCGCTCGAGCTCAGCGAATCGTCAATGTTCGGTGGCACTGCAACGAGTAGCAAATAAATGGCCGAAATAGTTTTAAAGTAACTCCAACAAACCACAAATAACACTAAAATGTTGTAGAGCTAAGCCGCTTACAGCGCCAACAATGCGCCGGACACATTTAAGATTAAAGCGCCTACGCTCCGTAATATATGTATGTGTGTGTGTGTGTGTGGGTGTATGTGCGTATGTATATAGAGCTGCACATTCATAACATGCATATAGAAACTCATGGACATATATCTATGGCCACCAAAAAAGCAGCAAAAAGCTAAAATAGGTGAGAAATTGCATTGTTTGCGAATATGTATGCACCTGTGTGTGTGTGGGCGGGTGGTTAGGTGGTTAGGTGTGTGTGTGCAACAGGATATTGCAATTGAAATGTTTTCAATTTTAATTCTATCAGCTTTCAATATGCATTTCATAATTATTTCGCTTATATTTTGAAATTAATCCAAATTCACAAAATTTACTACAATATATATACATACATACTTATATATATCTATATATATATATGTATATACATACGTTTATATGTTATATCAGACAATTGTTTATAATTTTAAGAGCACTTGTTTAGCTGCAAATACCGTCTTTACAGAGTATTATGTACCCTTCTAAGCTTCGATTTCTTTGCTTTTAATTTATCTATTTAAATAGCTTTCAATGAATAATAAATAATAATCAATTCACTTGTTTATTAGAATAAATGTGCAGAAATTTCCATTCATGTTTAAAACTTTTTTACTTCTGTGGAAAGCGCAAAACAAAGACTGGCCAAGAAAGGAAAGGAATCTAGCCTAGCTACAAATGTAAATATTCTCATCTTTAATATTGCAATTTAAGTATACAGATACATATATATGTTAAACATACATTTATATATATAGATATACATATATATATACATTGTGTTATTAAAGATCTAATTTTGCTCATATTTAGTTATAAATATTGAAAGAAACATAGCCACGGCCTTGAGCTAAAAAATAAAACTTAAAAAAACTTCTTGAAAATATTATTTATTTTTATCATATTATTTATCTAACAAATATTTTTAAAAAATGAATAAATATACATATTTTGAACATGAAAAATTAATAATGCATTGAGCTCATAAAGTATTTTTATGCACAGAGCTCGCATAAATTACAAATTTATTTTTCAATTATTTATTAAAGTATTTAAATGTTTCCGTTTACTTCAAATTAAAGCTCAAAAAAGAATTAATATTTATTTTTATTATTTTACATTGTTAATAATTATAGATTTTAAAAACAATAATTCTTATATGTAAATAAGTTATAAAATAATTGCTGTTAAGAAAACTAAATAAAATTGTATTACAATTTTTGAAAAATATTAAATGAAGTTTTTATTTCGTATTTGGGCTTTTAATATTTTTTTAAACTAAATCTTTTATATATATATTTACATATATATTTACATATCAATTATTTTGTGATACTGATAAATATTCTGCACCTGTCGCAATTGTTTTATACAACGAAAAGCAATTTCGTCTCTTTGATTAGACTTCGTTTTTATTAAATATGCCGAAGTGAGTTTTGAAAAAAAATATATATTTCTTTTAAAACCATTTTTAAAAGTTGAATTTTTTTGTACTGTTGCACATAATTTTTTAATTAAAAATTTGCGCTCCCTTTTCGCCGAATTTCGAATGCATTTTTAATAATTTGTTTTGTTTGCCAGGCGGGAAAATAATTTCGCTTGGCCAAAAGATTCACTGAACTGTACACTGGACACACACATACACACGCGCGCACACACACACACACTTTGCTGTCGGCTGCTGCTGCTTCAGTTTTGGTTTTTGTTTTTTTCTCGCGCTGTGTGCACGCTTTAAGGCATATAAATTATTTTTTAATTCGCAGCGTATTTGTACAGGATTTTCGTGTGTACTCTTGCGCCAGGGCGGCGTCGGCCCGACTCTGCGGCACTGCTGATTAGATGTTAACCCTTGTTGACCCCGCCAACAACAACAACAACTACTCACCCACAACATTCAGATAGCCGAATTGAGTTTTGGCCGTCACCGTATTGATCTGGCACATGTAGCGTCCCTTGTCCTCCTCGTGCACATTGTTGATGTGCAGATACCAGGTGCGATGCCTGTCGTGCTTGTCGTGCGTGACACTGATGCGCGGGTTGCGCGTGATCACGTGATTGTGCACGGTCAATATCGCCGATTGCTCAAAGTGCATCCAAGCGACCTGACGAAACGGAAAGAAAATTATAGGGAAAGGGAATTTATATGTTTATATAGAGATATTTGGAGGGCTATAGATTATATAACTTAAGTTGAATATTAATATTAATCGATGTTATAGTTATCTATGAAGACTTAAAACTTAAGAATAACTTCCCAAACTGAAAATGATTAATTGAATATTTTATGTAGACAGACAGAGCTAGAAAGTTGTATATCGATGTCAATCAATTTTATGCAAGTGTGTGCAGTTATCGATATGTTAACGGTTATCTATTATTTGTTAAAGGCAGACCTAGGTCTTATAAATTTTAATTAGGCTTATAAATTTTAATTATAAACTTAGACAGACAGACAGACGGATGTTAGAAAAACCACTCATTTATGAATCCCGACCTAGAATTTTTACTTAAAAATTCTACTTTGAATGATTTCAGAGAAATAGTAACTTATCTCTTTATATATCAAATCTTCCTAATATTGGGAATTTCTAAGATATTGTTAATAGATTTATCTAACCAGATTGACACAATACTTTAATTAATATAATTCACAATACTAATAGTAAAACATATGCAAAATACCTCAACGTAATTATCTACAACTCTTAAATTCAGTGCCATTCAAGAGTTAAACAAATATGCAAAAAGTTCCATAAAACGGCGCTAATAAAGCGAAATCAAGCTGAAAAAGCAAGAGAGGGGAGAGAAGGAGAGAGAGCACATCAACAAAAACAAGTCCTTTTCGTCCTTTCATGCTTCATTTAGCATTTATATACACTGTAGACGAAAGCATTTCGAGTATATTCCAGGAATTTAATGAGGTCTGATTGTAAATTGAATAAATTTGAGAGGATAATGAAGTATTAAGGTCTGCTCTATAAGTAATATGCAATACAAATATTTAATAGACATAAAACTTTACTGCGACTTTCTGAGAATTCCTCTCAAAACAGCGTATCTAACAGTCATTGCTTCTGCCGCAGCTTTCTCCCTGCTTTTTCCTGCGGTTTAGCGAATAAAAAATGGAATATCGCAAGAGTAAAAAAAAGAGTAGAAAAAAGTAAAATGATTTATTAATTAAGCAGCTCGTAAGAAATCAGCGTGTAATGAGCGATAATGATTTGATTACTCCGACAGCAAAAGGGGCGAAAGGAAAGGCGATTGATGCAATTAGATAAAAGGGCGAGGGATAAGGGCAAAGTGAAGCGCAGCAGATTCAATATGAAGATGACAGTAAAAGTCAACTAATTAAGAGTTCGCATTGCGCATACGCCGTGTGCACAGCTCAACTAAGCAAATAAGTTGAAATGGCTTTGGCGAAAGCAAAGGTCTAAGAGCTAGCCGGAGCTGAGACACATCATTACCAAGGCAAATGGGGAACACGGCCATGAATATCAAAAGCACTTGAAATGATGCGCTGCGCTGCCTTAGAGCAGCATCATTACCAAGCACTCGAAGAGCTGACTCGAGTAGCTAAGCCCAAATCAGCTAAGGCTAAAGTGTGATAGCGAGACTGATAGAGAGAGAGAGAGGAGGGTGGGGGAGGGGGTTGGGTGAGGCTAGCTGTGCCACCTGATATCTTGAATGTATTTTTTCATCCTTTTTGGGGGCTTGCCATATCCAGGAAATAGAATCAAATTGAGGTGTAAATGCGAGCGACAAGAAAACTAGCGCTGACGACACAAGAAACGTGCATGAACTAAATAAAATGGCCAAAATGAAAATGGGACTGGGCAGGGGAGGTGACAGGAGGCAGGGGCAGGGTTGCTCGACAGGTAGCAAAAAGCGTGGAGCAACTCGGTTTAGCTGATGGCATGTTTAAGTAGCTGTGTCTGTGGCCCAAACCTAGCTCAGCAGCTCTGACAGCCAGCGTCTCGCTTACATCTATTGCCTGCGTGTAATTCATAGCTATCACACACAAACACACACACACACACACACATGGACGCACCGCAACGCACATGAAACCAGTCGAGTTTATTTTTATATGCGACACTATGATGCAATTTTCTCGCTTCCGGTTTTCCTTTTACACTTTTTTCTCTCGTGCTGCTGAGCTGTGAAATTGCAGTCATGTACTACGTGTGCGGCTTGAAGTAGGAGCTAACCCTTATATATATATATGCTATATACATATATAGTTGACGTTAGATGTTATTAAATAGTTTTTAAAGGGCTGAGCGAGTGAGCGAGTAGAAAAACAGCCACTAAATGTGCGTTTATGCACAGGTATCCAAGAATTTGCTTCGACACTTCGTTAAGTGGGATTCTTAAGCAGCTATTGGAATGGTCGAGCAGCGTGAGTGCAGGACTTGAAATTGGTTTTGTATATTAATGTCAGAGACGTGTGAATTTGTTGCTGCAAGCTGCATGGCAACTAGTTAAGCAGACAAAGAGAAGTGAATAAAAAGAGTTTAATATGCGCCAAGGAATATATTACAGGCATGTCACATAATGTGTGGCTGAAGAATAGGGAGATTGGACAGATCATGCTGCTGCTTCGATCTAGGAATTCCATATAATTAGTAAAGGTTCGTAGAGATACAAAAAGGAGTAATGACAGAAGCTAATTCAATAAAAACCAACATGACAATTGGCATGGCATTTCGTATGGAAAAGCATATCATTCAAATTATTGCATCAGCTTTTCTCTTATCAACAATTTAAGATCCCCTATCAGATCATTTTATTCTGCCTAAGGTGCCTCGCATGAATGAATAGCTGTTCTCACAGAAAATGTTATGGAGTCGTATTAAGTCACACATTTTGTAAGTTGACTGTTTCGCCAAATCACAACTTCTTTCCTCTTGTATCACTGTCTATTAACATTTAAAGCTTAACATTTTTAAACAATTTTCACACAAATGTCATGCATAAGGCAAATGGCAAATCTAAATAAAAGCTTCAACAGCTAAAAATTAATGAAGGCTCAAACAACTGCTGAAATAGAGTTAACCATGTGTATTAATACCCAAAATATAATTGATAATATTCGAACGACAAAACAAAGAATTTGCGTTCAACTAAATGAATATTTGAAATATTTAATTCCTGCAATAATTTTCACATCGTTTTCTCTTTAATACAAACTTCCCCTTTGAGAAATACATTATACACACATTATACAAAGAAATACATACAAACATTTGATATTGCATCTCAATTATACAGAATTTTATATTAATATTTAAATATTTCGCACTTTACTCACCTTATATGAGCCAAGATTTTTAACCGAGCAACCCAATTTGACATTACGTCCAGCAGGTACAGTTACATTTTCGATGTATTCGGTAAATTCGGGTTCTTCAACAACAACTGCAAAGCATACGAGAAAAACAGCATTTATTTAGTATATTATTTAGTCAAATGATGTTCGTCCATTTATTCATATGTTTATAAATTATGCAAATTTTGATTATGCCTGTAATTAGCTTTATATAGTCAAAAAATATTACCCAAATTTGCATAAGCGAAAATTCAGTCCGTTGCATCAAATTAATTGTTAAAAAAATACTAATAGAAACCGTTGCATGAAACAATCAAATTTTATTGAATCGAAAGTGCAAACAACAACAAAAAGAGGAAGAGAAGGTGGCATACGTTAACACATTGGCTATATTTGCTATAAATATCAACAAGTTAAATATTTTCACGCTTCGAGTTTTATTATTTTTTGCATTTTCAAATTGAGTTTTCATTTCGAGTTTTTCCTCGCGGCTCACATTAAATTATTAATTTCTTCTCGCTCTTTTTTTATTCTTTTTAACGCATTAAACGGCGGCTGGCTGAAAATCTTGTCGGAAATGCTTTTCAATTTAACAGCCATTAAAAATAAAATGACTGAAGTGACTAGCGACAAGCCGAAACGCCAATACACTTAATTAAATGTATAAAAAAATATATGAAAATATGAAAATTCAACTACTATATTAAATGAAATTGGAAAAGTTATATTACATTTTGTATTTGTTTTTTAATATATAAAGAATTTCATATAAAATGTTAAATTATATTTTTAATAAATTAAACATTTTAAAATATCATTTAATATATAATAAATAAAAATAAATCTGAAATTTTTTAATATATGTTTAAAAAAAAAAATAAAACAGAAAGTAAATAAATATTCATTAAGTATATTAAATATATTATAACAAAAATTAAATAAATATTTAACAATTGAATAATTGAATAATATTTTTAAACTGTTCAATATTTTGTTTTACTTACTAAATTTAATTTAAATTTAATTAAAGCTCTCTTTTGAGCTCAAAAATTTATTTAAAAATGTAATTTTATTAAATATAAAAATTTCATGAAGTTCTTAAATACAGTTATATATAATTATATGTGGTTTTTAACTATATATAAATAAATTCACAAAAAAAAAACATGTAAAGCAAAAATGAATGTAATTTAAATCCAATAAAATATTTTACTTTAAGATATATTATTTTTTCTGAATTAATACAGTTCATTTTATTGTAAGGCTTAAATTTTGCGGCCTGCACAAAGGAAAATATTGTAAATAAACAATTCAATTAAGTTTAAAGTAGATGCAGCAAGAGTAGCGAGCATCTACTTTGAATACAAAAGGATTACACGTGGCAAAGGATTCTCATATTAAAAAAGGTAATAAATATATCCCTAAAGGATATTACTTTGCAACTCTTGACTGTTTGGCAGCAATTATGCTCACACAAGATCTGTGTGCGTTGGCTACTGTCCGACGCTTCTTAATAGCCAGCAACTCTTCTACTTTTACTTGAGTATGTATATATGTGTGTGTGTTTGCGCCTTGATTGCGTAATGCTATAAAATTGCCAATGAAAACATTTATCAGACTTATGCTCACGTTTGCTTAATTGAATTCAATCGCTTTGAGCCGTAATAAAATGCCAATGCAATTCAATTAACTTGTTAGCTGTGCAATCATTGAATCACATGCCCAAAAGGCAACGACCATGCGAACGGCTGAAGGTTAAGAAATCTGTTCATAATTGGCTCGACAATTTCAATTGCTTGACAAAATCTTATTTATTAAATAAATAAATAACGATAAACATATAATTATTTCCACGTTTGTGCTGAACTAATTCAATTCTCTACATAAGAGGACAAACCAAAAGGAAAATATGTTAGATTCCTTTGATTTTCTAAATATTTTTTAAGCATTATAAATGAAAAATTATAAATAAATAAATTTATATTTCAGTTTTAGCTCTTAGAAATATTATATTTTTAAATCTATCTATAAAAATGGTCATATTAAACAAATTATTTTAAATATATTTTTTTTATTTTTTAAGTGCTAAAAAAATATCTAAAATTATTAATTGAATTTTACTTATTAAAAAAAGACATATTTACTTTTATCACATTTATAAAAATAAAATAGATAAATTTGGAATTTTTTTTTTTCATGCGTGATATGAAGTTTAATTAAGTTTAATTTTCAGCAACAGTTTTAAAGTGCAACTGCAGCCTAATTAGCTATTTATAATGCCTGCCAGGCATAAGCACAATATTACACACACGTGCACACACCATCACACACATTTGTATTTGTTGTGGCATAGTGCACAAGGCAAAAGTCAATACGAAATACAATTTGGTGCGCGTTGCCAATGCAACTGGCCTCAGGAGTCTAAACACACTCTCACACACACACACAGACCCACGTTCAACCACACTCATTTGACACATGGCATTTGGCCATGGCCACAACACGCGTCGACCCATCTAATTATGAGACATCAACTGCTTCGTGGAAGGCGGTATAAATTAGCCGCCTTGAGGCAAATGTAACCATGACATTCGTGCCACACTTTTTTCCATTCTATGCCTCATGCACTTGAATTAACAGACAACAAGACAAACAACAAAAAAACAAACAAACGAGTGGCATAAAAAATGGAAACCTCCTCCTGCTGCTGCTGCTGCTGCTACAAGTCGAGCGTGCAACCTTTTTGCAACAGCGTCAAATTCTCTGCATAATCATGGGATTTCATCCAGCTGCAATTTTCGCGCCAGAGCGCGTGTCTGCATATAAATTTTGCGAAGGCCCCCAGACCAAGCCAGCAAACAACACCCGCAACAAAACGCCGCTCCCCACAGCCACGCCCACTTGTTAAAACTACTGCACCCACTATCAAAATGGGGAATGGCGAATGGGGCCAACAGTCAACGCGCAGTTAGGCAACTCGCAGATGTTCTACGCAACCAAATGAAAATTATAATTTAAGAAATTTCGAAACAAATTATAAATGCAAAATATTATCGACATTTTCATTGAATAACTTGGAAAAGAAAACCCTAAGCAACAAATTTAATTTGAAATTATTCAAAATATTTGATTCGAATTAGAATGAAAAATGAATCAAAATAAGCTACCAAATTCTTAAAAATAAATAAATAACTATATATTTTCTTTACAATTAAGCTTAAAAATTATAATAATAATATTGGAAAAATTGATAATTTAATATAAATATGAACTACAACATGAATTAACATATTATTTAATAATAACAAAAATATCATATATTTTTAGTGGGCTTATATAGTTAAATTTAAATAAATAGAAAAAAATGATAAGCAATTTACGTGCATTAAACTTGAAATATTTTATTTTTAGAAAATTAAACTCTTTAAATTTAATTTTTTTTAAATTATAAATATAGAAATATACAAATATTTTCCCTTTAGCAATTTAATTTTATTCGAAATCAGATCAAGTGATGAATAAATGAATAAAGCTCAATTTTTTTTTAATTTAAAAAAAATATTTTTTCTGCTATTTAAATAAATATAATTTTTTTTAAAAATGTTATTCAATTTATTTATATTTTTCCTTGCTTATAAATTACTTTATTTAATTAAAGTATGCAATTGTAATATTTTTATCTAAACAATTTGAAAAACATATCAATATTTGTTAGACAGAATTATTGAAAAAAATTTTAAGTAATAAAAATATTTATTAATATACAAGATTTAGTTATAAGTTATGTTCAAAAGCCAAATAACTCTGTATAGCTTTAACTTCTCTCCAATTTACTATACTAAACGTATCGAACTGCTTCTCTCAGAGTCAATTAACTCGAAACTCTATCGTTTACTTGCAGATATGCAACTATTATATAACCAATTTAACATCTGGCATGGCATTGATATTGGCCAGCAGTAGTTGATGGGCTTGTCAGTAGAGTCAGGCAGAGGGAGAGATGGGGCGAGTGGGTGCTTTGTGTTGTGGCTGATGCTGCCTTGTTGCGACATAAATTGCACTGCCTGAATGAATTTTGCGCACAGTTAAGCGACATTTGCGTTGTTTTTGTTCCAGCTGCACCTGAGAACAATGACAGCCGGCATGAGCATGAATGTATATGTGTGTGTGTCTCCCTCTATGTGTGTCTGTGTGAAGTGATGCCTCCTACCTTACCATAACATCATCTGTCTATCTCTCCCTTTCCCTCTCTCTCTCTGTGTCTTACTCTGTCTGTGCTTCTGGCGCTCGCAGCGCTGTCACCGATTTCCTTTTTTCACGCCGCATATCTGTGCAGCTGCTAGCTTTCAATTTTTGGCATATAGCCGTGTATCACTTATGACCCGCGGCTGGAATTAATGCCCCTGCTCCCACCTCGCTGCTCGTACACCCGTATATCTCTGTCTATCTATCTGGCTGCGCTGTCAGTGTGTTTGCAAATATGATTGCCCGAGGTCCGCGCCTACAAGCCGAGTGTTATTGATGCCATCAGACCCTGATGTCTGCCCAGCGGGCGTAACTGGCATAAAGATAACCAAGATAAGTACGCAATATTACACTGTGCAGCAAATTACAATATCACAAGAAATGATGCATCTACAAGGGCACGATGAACGACTAGCAAATACTCTGCGAGTGCTCAAGAAAGTTTCTCTGTTTTCCCAACTCCTCATATCTTCTCTTCCCTAATTTTTTTTACAGCTCTCTCTATCTATCTCTATCGCTTTTCATATTTCTTTTCTTTTCAACCCTTTTCCTTTTACTCTTCCCTCTGTTTTCTACATTTTTTTTAATAGAGAAATTTTTTATCTTGTTTTAATTCTAATGCTTAAATATTTGTGATTGTTAATGGTATTTTTATATATTATTTTTATATTTTATATATATAAATATATATTTTAATATTAATATATATATATTTCCCAAAATGTTAATCAAATTGATTATGCTTCAAGAGAACAGTATGAGGTCTGTGATTTTTAATAGTAAATATTATAAATACTCAAAAAATTGTGAATTTTTATTTATTTAGAATAATTGAAAATGAGAAAATTATTAAAAAACTCAACAATGTTTAAACACTTTCAAATGCACCTCACGCACATTTTACATACTCTCGTCTTTGCTGTCAATCACTACTAAGATATTCAGCTATATTTTATATCAATTTTTAAACAATTTTTTAAAGCTAAGAATTTAAATAAATCTAGTCAGTTGTTATAGATTCTAAATATACGAAAAAGACTCGAGTCGAGGCTTCTACTCACTATTTAAATTCGATGCTGGCACATTGGGCACACCGCCGGCCACAATTACACCGTTGCTGCCAAGAATGGTGTTGCCATTGGCTGTGGCGCCTCCGTTGTTTGTTGCGGCTGCCGACGATTTGCTAACAGTGAGATGCTTGCTGCTGCTGCTGCTGCTGCCGCCGAAGGCGCCTCCGTTGCTGCTACCGCTGCCGATGCTGCCGTTGAGTATCTGCGGCAGTATGATCTTGTTGCTGGAGTCCCCCGCTGTTGCCGTTAGCACAAGGAGGGCTCCAATTAGATGCCAAGACGGCAGCAACATCAACTTGCCGTATTCTTGCCTCTACCCACAGCCAGGAGCACCGACGTTGGCCTCGTGGCCTGGCTTAAGTGCATCTCTTCACGCCAGCCACCCGCGACCTGCTCTCCTATCCCAGCCCAGCTTCAGCTCCACTCAAATTGGCCAGCTGCTCGACTCGAAAATTTGGTTTGTTGAGTTTGGTTTTTTACTTTTGTTTCTTTGCTTTTCAAATTCGTTTTTCCTCCACTTTTTTTGCGTGTGTTTGTTTCTTTTCAGTTTATTTCAACTTGAACATAATTGTTTATGGAACTCATTTGAATTGAGATATTTTGTGGGCACTGGAATTTATGTTTTAGGAATTTTTATAATTATTTTTTAAAATTCACTTAACAATAATTAACTTAAATTATTATATACTAAATTAAAAATATATTTTTTATGATATTAGATTTTCTTTTTATAAGATCTATATAAAATAAATAAATTTATAAGCTATAATTTAATATAATTTTAGAAATATTGGAAAATAATGAAGTTTTAACAAATATATATTTTTGTATTTTTTTAATTTTTATTTAAATAAATATTTAGTATTTTTAAAAACAAATTGTTTGAAAATTAGAATATTAAATATCTTTAAAATTAAAAAAAAATATATATTTATTAAATAAATATTGTTTATAATGAAATGTTCACAATTATCTATTCTCCATACAATTTATAACTTTTCTGGCTTTCCTTTTTAAATACTTCGTAACTAAATTTATTTCACTTCACTAATCTGTTTAGCCTAATCCACTTATCACTGCTGTCACACGTTAAATACGAAACATTTAAGAGAATAAGCAAAAAATACGCATTACAAAAATCAAATATAACTGAGCAATTAAATTTTAATTTGCAGACATATTAAAAACAAAAAATGTTGCTGAATTTATTAATTTAATTACAAACACTTTGCGAAACTCATAAAAAGTACATAAATTTGTTTGTTGTTGTTGTTGCTGCTGTTTATGTTGTTGGTAAATCTGTTTTTGTCTATGCCAAAATGTCATCATGCGTGTGTAGGGGGCGTGGGTGGTAGAAAATTGCTTAATTTCATAAGCGAATCATAAGGGAAAAACTTTGTGTACGCTCTTGGCGTGTTCCACAAGCTGTGGACCCGTCCTCGCTTCCTCTCACTCTCGCTCTCCCACTCTGTCTCTCGCCCACTCTCTACGCAAGCGACACGCTTAAAAGCCATAAAAAAGTATGGATGCTCTAGAGAAAGTTTTTCTATATTTCTTGTTTTTTTTTTTCTTTTTATTTTTTATTTTTGCTTGAAATTTGAGCAGATCGCCAACAACACGCACGACACATAAAATGTCTCATATATATATTTAAATATATATATAGATAGATAAAGTTATGCTGCAGCAGAACTTGAATAACTGAGTAGGTTGTCAAAGTTAACCGAAAGCCACTGAAAACTTAAGATAAACATAAATGAAAGCAGCTTTTAAATTAATTGCCTGACGTTTTGTACATATGTGAGCTGGGAGCTACCCAACTCTCCTTCTCTCTCTCTCTCTATATATATCCTCTTCTTTCTATCTTCAGTCAGTGCATCTGTTACAAACATAGAAGTCTTTGTCCCGAATTTGACGCTAACGAGTAATATAATGCACATGCATAGCTTTTGTGAGTGAGGGAGGCAGAAATGGAAATTAATCTCAACTAACTTTAATAATTTACTACTTTAAAATAATTCTGAAAAAATTATGTAAATTAAAAATATACAATTCAATATTTTTAAGTTATTTCTACTAACTTAAAATTCTTTAAACATACATTTGAATATATATATATATTATAAAAAATATTTTATGAATTATAAAAATAAAATTAGGAACAATTAAATTAAAACATAGTTCATTTATATAAAGTACACAAATAATTAAAATAAATAATTTTATGTAATTTAAATTAGGCAACTTGCTACAATAATGCAAAATAATAAAATCACAAATTTAATAAATAAGATGAAAGAAATTTATTCAGAAATTTAAATAATATGTGATGATTTTTGAGCCAATAATATAAATTATTACATAATTTGGCTTAATATTTGTATTTAATTTTTTTTTAAGAAAAACTTAACAAGCCGAAATAAAATATTTCTATATATTTCTAGATACTTTTTATATTTATATATATTCCTACAACAACTTGAATCATATAAATAAATAAAATCAAAATACAAAAACCGTGCTCTAAATTATATACTACAACAATGCTATTCATATTTAAGAGTATTTTCATATTCTTAAACATACTTCTCCCATATTTTATACACAAATAAGAAAGCTTCTATTCCCACATTCCCATTTGCATTTCAAAATATAAACAAATTCCCATATTCCTGTAAAATCTGCTGATGTTCCCAATTTCGTGGCGAAAACTACTTTCGACTGCTTTAATGCTTATCTACAAAGTTGAACAGCAGCATTTTTATCTATATATCTTTATAAGAGAGAGTCGCATACCTTACGCTCAGATAAACCAGACCATATATCAATTGGCCGCCAGAGGGCGCTGCAGCCATTGCCAACAAACGCGAAGGCAAATCTTTATGACTTTTTGAATTTTACTCTGGCGAAAGGGTTTTCTCGCTCTCTTTCTTTCTTTTTTGCCAAATGGCTAAAAACTTTTGTGCGGCACGTTCAAGCAGCGATTGCAAAAAAGGGGCGTGGCGCCCAGAATATGGCGGCTTAGTCGGGCATAATATTTTGCCAAACTTTATTGAATTCCCAGTCAAATCTGCGTGGCATCTGTGAGGTTAGCCCCGGAAGGGAAACTCCGAACGCACAAGTTCCGAGACAGCAAACAATTGACAGTGTACAGAATGTAGAGCTGCAGGAAGGGCGGATGGCAAGGGCGAACGTGGTGGAAGCCAGAGCAGTGCATTGAAAGCAGATTTATGGGCGCCAAAGTCATATGGAAAACTCGAGAATTAAGCAATTTCTTTTTTCCTTCTAGGCTAAACAAATGGGAAACTTGTTATTAGGATTTGCTGGTATGTAACGTCATAGAAAAGAAGAAGAAAAACATGAAAAGCACTAGGAAAACAGCAGCTGGAAACTGGGTTAGTTGCTACTGCAGTCAGAGTAAACACAAACTTCTGAAGCTGCTTTTAAAAACATTTGAAACCCTAAATGCATATTCTGACATTGAATTGGTCTATTTACAAATATAGAACAGATATATATATATATATACAATACATATATGTATACAATACAACTAATGAATTTCTTTTAAACTTTTGCAACTTTTTAGTTTTTCAGCTTGTTTTGAAATGTAAATTCATGTTCTTTATGATAAACAATGGATAGAACTAAAGAAATTTTAAGAAGTTAGTAATACAAGCAAACATTTTTATTAAGAGACTTAATTTAAATAATTTAAAATATTATAAAATTATTAAAATTATCAAAAATATATTAAAAATATTTTAAAAAAACATTATAAAAACGAAAATTTTTTAAGGAACTTTTAAATCGAAATATTATATTATTATTGTAAGATATTATTATTTTGTTGTTATTATTATTATGCTAATATTATTATAATTTTAAATCATTACAAATTTTAAAAAATTATTATCAATTTTATAACATTTTTAGTTTTAAAAACTATAATAAATAATGTAAAGTAAACTTAAAATCATATATTTGCTATTAAATCTTGCAAAAATACGATAAGAATAAATTTTTCTTATGCAATAAATTTTATCAAAAGCCAACACATAAAAATCCCTGAAAAATATGCCACATAAAATTAATTGACATTTAAGGGGCAAGAAATCTTTTAACGTAGAAATGACAACAATTAGCTAAGGCAGTATGATATGAAATACAAATAATAAAAAAAAATTAAGATACATTTTGTTTGTATATTAAAAGTTTTTTTTAGTTACACTAGTCAAAGCTTTAACAGTTACACCAATTAAATCTGACACAGAATAGGACATATTTTTAAAATATTTTAATCTTCTAATATTTATAAAAAATCTTATAACTAATATGTGGTTTCCGAAAAACACGAATCTTGATTTCTAAATTTTTTATCAAATTTCATCAATCTTTTCTGAGTCACTTCTCAGCATTTACTTAAACAATTTATATTTCCACAAATTGTTAATTCAATTTCTCACTTTAATTTCTTCATTGGTCTCTGTCCACACTTTCACTCTATGACAACATAAGCATTGCAACTAATTGATTTAATTATCATGCTATTGTAATAGAGCCCTATATGAGCTCACATTACAACTCAACTCAACTCAACTCAACGCGACTCAGCCCATGCAGTTTAGCCAAGCTCATCAGAAATCCAAGGCACAATCAAATCAATGCCTGAAACGAAGCCAACCTCAAATGGAAATGGAAATGGAATTGGAAATGGAAATAAAATAAACGAACTGCTGCGGCTCGTACTCCGGCAACTCGTGCTCCTATTCGATTCTGTAGAATGGACAAAGTCAGACATGTGACCAATTAGCGCCAAAATGCTGAGGGACAATTTGTGGCAGTGGCAGGTGCAGAGGCGGGTCAGCTTCAGCGTATGCCCAGTTGGCAAATTCTGTGGACCCAAAGAGCAGGATTCGAGTGCAAACAGACAGCCACGAATGCCGAATGTTAGATATTAGTTAACCATTCGAGGCACACGTTTTAATTTTACCAATTCTTCTTCTTCTCTTCGCCTGTTCTCCTTTTTCAAGCCTAATTAAAAACATATGTGACGCACATGAGAAGCAGGAAGCGAGTCGCCAAGAGAGTTGAATGACTTCTCGCCCAGATTGCCATGGATAATATTGTGGAGCTTCACAGAAAGCTAACAGAATATTGTTTAAATTGTAAACAGCATAAAAATATAATAAAAGTAATAATAGAAATAAGCCGAAGCAGCTGGAGTAGCTGGGGCAGCTGTGGTCCTTGCTTAGCCATCGTGGGCGTGCCGAATCATCAGCCCAAGTGTATTCGCCCTCTGGCCTTTATATATATTTGCTTTTCTCTCTTTTTTTCTGGCTTTTTTTTGTTGAGTTTTGTTTTGTGGCCTAAGCTACAGTCGCTAAATGCTGACAGCTTTTGGCTTTCAACGCTGCGACATTTGCTGCGGGTAATGGCAACTGTTTAAGCGGGGCAGCAGCACCAGGAGTCAGGGTTTAATACTGGCCCCATTGTTGCCCAGCCATGTTTACAATGAAAAGCCGCCAACCAAACAAATTAGCATTTGCTAAAGTGGGTTCCACTTTAATATGACGCAAACGGAACTTGGCTGTTTGCAGGTGTCAAGAAATGTTTTCTATTTTTATAGGTGTTTACAATGATATTAATTCGTATAGAAATTCGAGAGATGAGAAACTTTTAAAGCTGTGGAGAGATTTGAGAAAACTTGGTAGAAATCTGGGGAGAGAATAATGATGACAAAGCAAGATGAGAAAGGAGAGAAAGAGAGACAGAGAAAAAGAGAGAGAGACAGAGACCACACTGTGCGGGTGAATTACAGAGAGAGAGCTACATAAGGAAAGAAATATATAGAAAGAAAGAGAGAGAAGTGAATACGTGAGAAAACAAAATATAACGATTACGTAGAAAAAGAAAGTATTGGAGATTGAATTTGAGAAAAAATGAGACATAAGAAATGAGAGTAGCGAATCCATTAGAAAAGAATACAGAAAAGAAAAATTACTGAGTATCAAAAAATTAAAGTAAGTAACTAAGCCCTTCAAATAAGGTTAGGCATATAGATAAGTATGAGATTTCATTAATTTCAGTTAATAAAACTAATAAAAAATAAATAATTAAAGTGTGCTGCACACTTAAATCCTTTAAATATATTTTAGTCGACCTTCAATCTATCTAATTCAACTTTCAGGGGATCAAGAAAAGCCCACTACAGACAACATTGCCAGACAAATTTCAGTCAATTTATTTTTGGTTTCAACAAGGAGCTCAATCAAAGATAAAGCTGTATAAACACAGATATACACACAGATTGACAGATATACAAAATACAAATACAGTTATTGTGCTCAATAACTTTTCAGTTGTGCCTCACAATTTGTCGCTTTGCGTGGTGGCAATTTAAAAGACCAAACTCCCCCTGTCGCTCTCCTCCTCCCCTATCTCTCTCTCTCACTCTCGCTCTCTGCCTCGACTGTCACAGCTGAAAATCCAGTGTCGCCCCATCATCAACATCAATAGCAATAGCAAACGCATTGGGAATGGGAATGGGATTGTCAGCCAATGGCATCATATTTTTGCAATTTGTTTGCTTTGCTCTGCACAATTTGTAAATTTGTTACGCCAAACGATAAACAAAAGAGACGCAAAAACTAAAGAGCAGCACACAAAAGTCCAAACACCAAAGAGAAAACAATAAGCTGCAATGACGCTGGCTGAATACAAAAAAAACTTCTTTTTTTTCGGCAACACCAGCTGCCATTGATCTGCATTGATGCCAGCAGTCACGCATACGCATACATACAAATACAAAAGTACGCACGCATGCAGTGGGCGAAAGAGAGACATTGGGAGAGGAAGAGTGCGATAGAAACATTACGTATGCAGTTTTCAAACTGTTTCCTGCAGACTGCTACTCTCTATGTCTGTGTGCTCCTCCTCTTTCCCACAATTTCGTGTGTGTGTGCCTGCGTTGGGTTAATGTATTTTTAAGCTAAATTCTTTGTTTATATTTGCTTTGCTGTTTTCGTTAGTGTTTTTGCTCGTTGATGTTGCTGTTGCTGTTGCTGTTGCTGTTGCAACAACTCCAACTACGATTTCAATCTCAAACTCAATCTCACTCGCTCTCTCCTTTGCTGTCGTTGTCACTCCGTCTACCTCTATACTTCAAGTCAAGCCCCCATTTAACTTTGGTTTATTCATTTAGACACACGCTCATAAGTTTATCTCAAGTTTTTGGCATTCAGGCTGTGAAGTTCTCTGATGACATGAGTGTGGTTCTTATTATTGTTGCTGTTGTTCTTGCTGTTGTGATTGCCTTTGTTTGCTTTTATTGCATGAAATGTGCATTAGCTGAGAGAGAACGGTTAATTGTTTGCACATGTTAAGTGCTTAACATAGGCAAAGAACTAGTTACATTCAAGTGTTAAAGAAAGTGAATTTAATGTCGAATTTCAAGTAATTTAAGATGTAAACTTTGAGGATTAAAAATAGATGTTAAATACAAATATATAATAATAATATATGTATACTTTTATATAGTTTGTAATGATTTTCATTTCATTTCAGAAAATCATTCTTATTTATTTTTTTAAATATCTACACGAATTTTCTACAGAGATTGGAGATTAAAGAGAAGCGATCGCCTTTTTTATTTTACATATTGGTAAAGTCAGTTACTTCTTAAACCTATAACTAGTTTATTTTCATACTTAAATCTTAATTTCTCTCTTTTATTAATTCAAAAACATGGTCAGCATATCATAACTAGATCAATTTCTTATATTTCTAGTTTACTCTAGATAAACATTGCCCAAAAATTAAGCAAAAATAAATAAAATAACTATAAACAATTAAAATAAAAGTAGCTCTTTATTTATATTCAAAATTGTAAAACCTTTTAATATAGTTATCAATTAATCATTCTCAGTTCTCAAAAGATTCTTCAATTCAAACGAAAACAACACTTGCACAATACATTCCACGCAAAATTTCGAAAATGCACTCAAAAAAGTCACCGTTAATTTTCGAAAGACGACATTTTGCAGATCTTTCGACTAGACACTATGCGACTCACTACTCGACGCGTCCGCTTCGTGCAGAATCCGTAGCGAAACTGATTCGTCAACGGACGCCGTACAGCGTACGCCCTACGCACACAGCACGCAGCAGCATAGAGCCGGCTAGCTTCAATACCAGCAGCAGCAGCAACGACAACAACAACAGCTATTAGAAGAAAAAGGCATAAGCAAAGCCAACGGCAAAAAGAATAACCGACGAATGAAATAAATAAAAAAAAACAACAAAAAAGAACCCACCGCCATGGCAAACGAATGATAACAGCCCAAAAGCCGAACGTCGAGCACGAAGCGGCTTCGGCTGGCACACAGCCATCGTGCAGGAAGCTGTTCGTTATTGTTGTTATTGTTGTGATAGCCGGCATGCCTGTCGGGCTGTCGGCTCGTTGTCTGCGTGCAACCACAACCGCAACAACAGACCGCAAAACACGCGACAAAAATGTTAACAGAGCTCCCAGCCGTAACATGGCGCCCACAACAGCGCACGAACAAAAAACATGCCCTTGCCATTAACATGGCACGTAAATGACTTCCGGACTGTTGAGCACCAGTGACAGAGGTTTGAGTTGTGTTTGAGCTCGATTTGTGTCGAACACCCAGCCCAAACCAGCTCGCAACAAGTTGACATGTCGCTGCGCTGCTCTGTTAACACTAAGGCAATGCGTTTTTGGCTTAATTAAATGAAATCAAAAAACAACCAAAAATGCAAAAAAACAAAATTAAAATCAAAACTAGTTTGTGTGAATTCTGCAACGCTGCATATTATATATTTAATTAAGCAAGTTAATTAATTTCATTATACGAATTTCATTTGATGCGCTATGTGTGTGTGTTCACATTTATATGTTCACATATATATATATATATACATATACATGTGTGTGTGCGTTTGTCCAACTGTGAAGTAAATTTAATATACACTTCGTGTGGCAACTAAATTAAAAAATATTTGTAGCTAGTTGAGAGCAGAAGTTTGTTTGACTGTTTTAAACATTGCTAATTAAATTTATAAAATATTTTTAGAATTTTGGGAATTGTTTTAACTGAAAAAAGGATTATAAGAGATTGAGTTTGGTTTGAAAAATAGATAGTGGAATAGACAAATAATTTTGTGCTTAAAACAAATATTTAAAATTAAATTGAATATCCATTTTCTTTACACTCAAATAAGAAAGCTGCTTAAAGCTACGGTAGCAATGGGTAATGGAGTTTATATTATCTGACAGAATATTGCCATAAAATATGTATCAAAAACTGAAAAAAAAAAACAAAACTGTAAACTGGTTACTTAGTTTAAGCCCTAACAATAAACCAATTTGGTTCAAAGTTATGTAAACAGGAGCGTTTCTTATGCATATATAACTCTACAGTTGCATAACGATTTTTGCAAAGAATTAATTATTTTATGTACTTACAATTTGAGTAATTTATTAATAACATTCCAAATAAATAAACAAAACAAAAGTAAATGAAATGAAACGAAATACAGAAAGACAACAAAATTAAAGTTCAAAATGTTGCTAGCTGTTACTAATGATTTTTCTTAAAATATTTTGTTTTAAATATTAAAGATATTTATATTTATTATGAAATTTATTTTACAAAATAATTAAACTTAAAATTTAATTAAAAAATTTATTGTAAAATAAATATTTATATTTTTTAAATTAAAAAAAAATAGTAAGGAAAACCTAAGGAAAAATAAATCATATATAGATTGAAAAAAAAATTTTTTTTCTATCAATAAAAGTCTGATCTTTCATAAAATACTTTAATTATTTGACTTTCCTTTTAAATTTCAACTTTTATTTATTTTAGAAATATAGATATTTCTATATATATTTCTGCTTGCCTAGTCGTATCGATAAATATATATACAATGGGTATATACATTTCACTTTATATATACTTGTTCAACTTCCTCATTCGATTTTAAACTTTAATGTTTTTGCATCTTTTCTAAAACGAAATAACCTGAACTTCTACGCCATGAACTCTGTGCCACCTGCTTCTTAGCCACTCAGACAGAAGCCAGCTGTTGGAATATCAACAAGATAAAGAAGAAGACGACGAAGAAGAACAACAAGAATTTCTCCCAGTTGGACAAACTAACTAACAAGCTTAATGAACTCTTTCAAATCACAGGCATCGCTCAGTGCCAGCAACATTAAAACTGACAAGGCTAGACATACGCAGTCAGATGGTCTCCAGAGTGGGTGGAGAGGCGGCATTGGACCAGGACACTACGTGCCAATGCCAACAACAACAACAACAACCGCAGACGCCACTTGCCATGTTCATTATGTAAGGCGTTCTCCCCAGGGTAAAGAGAAGGGGGGCGGGTGTGGTGGTGGGTGTGGCCGACTGTTGCGCCGTGCTCAAAGCATGCAGTGCGTGTGTGTGTCTGAGTGTGTGGTATGCGACGCAGAGGCCGCAAAGGTCGTTGCAACACATTTTGCTGTTGTGACGCCAAAAGTCAAGTGTGCCGAGGGGCGGGGGCGTGGCCAGGCGAGTCCTTTGCTGGCCATTACAACACTTTGTTGGCTGCTTTGTAAAGTTATTCTTTTTGTTGTTGTTGTTGCAAAAGTTTCTCCACTTTTTTCTTCGTCTTCTTTTTTTTGCCGCCTCTTTGTATTTTTCACGCCCTGTCGAAACTTTTAGCCCTCGTTCAAGTTGTTGTTGTTGTTGCATTTGCTCGACAATGAAATTTTTTGACTGCTGATTGTTTGGTGTTCAATGTTATTCTTCCTGTTACTTCACAACTTAAAGCAGCAACAAATATGACTAAAAAAATATGTAAACTTTAAGATACTTAAAAATATAATATAAAAATGAAAAACAAAAAAAAAAACTTGCAGCAAATTGAAAATGGAAAGTTTTTGTTTTGCAGTTGCGCTTCGACTTTTGCAACTTTATATAAAAAACTAAACTTGTATTTTTTCTGTGTCTCACTCTCTCTCTCCCTCTCTCTTTTTCTCAGTCTTTATGCTTTTAAGTACGCGTCTAGTCGCAGGTCTCAGCAAATGAGGTAAAATAGTTTGGGAATTCGCATTGTACGAGCTGGCAAAACTTTTGCCCAACAATATAAAGATTTATGCGGCAGATATTCAAGTTACTTTGCAACTGGTTGAAAATAAAAAAAATAACAAAAACTAACAGGTCGATTTCTCAGGTGTATAAGTAACATTTTACCTAAGGATAACACAAGGAAAACTGATGCATTACTTTTTAGTTTAGTTTATTTTTGATTAGATAAAACGCATTAGAGAAGATCTTTAAGCTGTGGAAACATATGTATAAAATATATGTTTTAAATAATATAAATATTTTAAAAATAATACAATTATTTTGTATTTGATATATACCAACTAATTATCAAATAAAAAAATAATTTTATTATTTTTAAATTAGTGAAATTATATATTTATTTACATATCTTAAACATTTTCTATAATGCTTGTTGCAACTTTATTAATCTATTTGTATTTAACAAATCAATTTTTGCTGAGTATATATATATATATATGAATATATATGAAAATGTTTAAGCTATGTAAATAAATATATAATTTCACTAATTTAAAAATAATAATATATATATATATATATATATATATATATATATATATATATATATATATATATATATATATATATATATGTATAAAAAGTTGGCTAAAATAAGCAACAAACTGCAACAAATTGTAATATATAAAAAACTATATTTCATTCCTAACTTGTGAGCTAGAATCAGATAATTTGATAGATGAATCTATGTTGGCCCAACCCAGAAATAGATATATGTCTTATATAGCATTATGCAATTTTCTTTGTCTGTTATCTATTTCCTAAATATTTTCTTTATAATATACAAAACTGAAGCTTGGAGATTTTAGATTCTCACTCAAAACAGCCTGGCTAGACGTCTAGGTAATGGAACTAGGAGACGACTGCCTACCCGGTTAAGTCTATGCTTAATGTCTATCAAACATTCACTTAAACCTTCCCTGTGTTAGTTAGACCCACTTGCTTCCCTTAAGCTATTTATTCTGAGTTCGTTAAAATATGTTTAATTATTTTCTGCCTTGATGATTTTCTGATTACATTGCCTAAAAGGCCGGCCTAACACTAATTTGTAAATATATAATCAAATAACAATATATATATTAAATTAAAATTTTTAAATAATTTCGTAAAAATTTTTGAAATTATTTTTATTAGTTTTAGTTCTTAATAAAATATTTGCCTTCAAAAATATAATTTATACATAAAATATATGTAATAAATATTTTATAATAATATTTAATATTCTATAAATATGGTATAAATATTTTATTTTATTTTAAATATATTTATATATAAAATTGTTTTAATATGCTATATAAACAATATAAATATTATATTTTATTCGAATTTATTTTTTGCTCTAGGAACACAACAATGCCAAGGCAAAGTAAATTGAAATGCCAAGAATTAATTGAAATATTTGTTATTTTACAAAATTCCTAATGCATCACAAATCACACGTCCACACACAACACATCAGCAGCTAAATATTCGCATCAAAAAGCTGCCATAAATAATTCCAATTGGAAAATATGCATTTAGCGTCTCGCATTGAGTAGCTGCCGCTGTCGTGTGTGCCACAAACATCATGAAATGCGAATCAGAGCAACATTCTTTGCCACATTTGCAGCTTCTACCCCGCTGCACACCCACACATACACACACACGCACATACGTAAAAAGAAATCAAAGTTTTCAATGCATTTTCCAGCAATTTTCACACTCAAGCTGGCATGCAATGCAGATGCAGCGCTGCTGCCACGACTTCAGCTCTGCCCTCAGCCTGACAGCTGCACTTACGCAATGTAACGCATAAGTGAACCTCTCGCCCTTCTAGCCTCTTCATCTTCTTCTTCTTATACTTCTGCCCTACCCACTAAAATGTGTGCAACGCGTTTTTCATCGAATTTAATAAAATGACATGCCGAAAATTTGCCAGAATTCTCACGCAGCCACACAAGCTTCGTATGTTTCTTGAAAAGAGTTTTGTAATGCCCCCCTGCACCCCCTACCAAAACTCAGTCCCCTCTTTGCATGGCATAGCATCAGGCGTTTTGGCATGCCAGCTATGCGGAAAATGATGCTTTTAAAGTGAAATTAGAATGTGTTTTGTCATTGTGTGAGTTCGACAAAAATTTGCATACCCATTGACAGTCAATAAGCGGCGCAGCCGCAAAAAATAGGCCACACACTTTATTAGCCGCCGTGACTAAGCCGTTTGGCCAAGATTAAGTCGCCCGCAAGTATGCCAAGGCATTTCAGCGGCTAATAACTCAATAAAAACCAGGCAGCGGCCAGCCACGCCTCCCCCAGTCGAACCCTAACTTCAGCCACGCCCCTTCCACGCGCTGCACTCCCTCGATATTGCCCTGTCAGCTAAGCCGATTTCCGCTTGTTTGCCACGCAATTACAATTTGTCAGCTTGTGGCTCAGGTTGTCGTCTCTGGCTCGTCGGCTGCCAGCCAGTGCGGCGCATATATATCAAACGCCTAATTAGGGATTATAGCGGATAGCAGCACAACAGACAAAGGACGCAAGCACCAAAGGACCAAAAGGCAATTGCACAAGCACAAGCACAGGCACAAGC